ATTATTCAATTAATTGGTCACAGTAATTCTTAACTCCACTCCATGACCGTAGTTACCATCCAAATCATCGTTATCATCATAAATCCACGACCCACTGCCATCACCTCCACCTCAAATAAATTGGACACACGTAACTGATGAAACAAATACCTCAGCGATTTGTATGATTTGTGACGGTAACCTCGACAATCGCAGCTGGTGGCGCTGGAATGATTGGGTTGGAATCAATTGCTTTTCTCTCTCTAAAATTTATATTCTCTCTCAATTGCAACAGCAATTTCTCTCTCTATAACTCACGATAGATGAAAGGTAAAGGTGAGCTAGAACGAGGGTGTGGTGGAATAGGGGTGGAGGTGTGGACTATACCTGATTTTTGAAAGAAAATAATTACAACTTGAGTTATGAATTTGAAATTTATAAAGTTGATTTTGAGGTAATTTTTTCATTAATTTTTTAATAAATTTTGATAAAAATTGATGAAATATGTGATTTTAAAAACTCACTCATCTCACAATCCTTAGGAGATGGAATCGAGTACTATCATGCGCCATCTTCCATCACAATCAAGAGTTTCATATCTTAATATACATTATTTAAGTATCGATCCATCCTCTACAAGTCTCGTGCTCCAATTCTCTCTTGGGCCATGAATACGACCTAGTCTCCCAGAGCAATCATGTAGTACAAGAAATAGAATTTACGCAATTTCAACGACTATGTTCTTTCTCACGAGTCAAATAATAACAATTAATGGCGTGTATTGACTAAATTCTCAGATGCTTAATTCAAGTTGCGTCTAAGATTTGTGATGGCCCTTATCATTATCGTGGATGCATTATCTCTTGATTCTTGTTATTGATGTACAAATTTAAAAAATATTCATATCCTTGAAGATCAATCAAGAGTTTACATATCTCATTATACATTTATTTGACTATTGATCCATCCGCTACAAGTTTCATGCCCCAATTTTCTCCGAGGCCATGATTATGACTTTTGTTACTTCGTGTATATAGCTTGTAGAAACTTGTTTCACGAGCAATTATAGAGTACATGAAATAACGTGGTATTGTTTGACGTTGTATTTTAGTCTTTAGATAATGTAATGAAACGTCCATTATTCAAGAATGAAACTACATATCTCTTTGTGGATTTATTGAGAGATTTCAGTATCGTCGAATCTACGAATTTTTTTTATTATTCTTCCATGGAAGGTGAACGACACTGATTATGATGGGCGAAACAAATGTTCTTCATGACTGTTCAAAAGAATGGAAGTTGAAAAATAAAAAATTTAAATTATTTTCTAATTTTAGACTACAACTTCTCCAAAAAAAAAAAAAACACTTTTCACCAAGTTTATTCTTAAAAAATGTGACTCGAACGGATCCTTAAAAGAAAAATGACTATTTTCACTAACTCGGATCTATGTTTTATGTTAGTTGATAACGAAAGTCGTGACGTAAAGTTTTAGTGAGTCATATTAGTTCATACAACAGTATTTTGGTCATGAAAAAAATTCATAACTACAATAGTTTAATAATACACTCTCAAAATTAAAAAAAATTATAAAAAAACTATCCAAAATTAGGTGGTATGTAGCATGTTAGGTAAGTGATTGTAACTTATTAGTATGATGTTTAATTGTGACCTAATATGTAAGTAACATCTTAGTTACACTTAGCACAAAATATTTCTACATTTTATTATTATTGTGCAAAACGAACGGGCCTACATTCCATTTTTTGACATCGTTATCCTTAATTACATATTTGATTGCGCAAAAAATCATCTCCATCCATTTCATCCCAACTTCTCCGTTAAGTGAACGCTTGTAATCAAATTTTTTTTTTCAAAAGGGAAGCGTATTCTCGTCTCAGAACATTTTTCCTATTTCTTCCCTTACGCCGAATGCAAAATACATATTTTTCCCCTTTTCCTCCCCTCTCCTCTCCACCAGCAAAAGCACAAAGTGAAGAATACACAGTGAAGCGAAAGTAGCCATCTGTACTGCACACAATTGTTCGGCTTGAAAGTACCGAATCGAGAGCCATGCCGAATGATTTGAGTTAAGAAATGAATCATTTACATGGGTTTCTTTCATCCGAAATGGATCTTGCAGAACTTGCTGCTTATATTAGAGGTTTATTAGGTTATTAGTTAAAAGGCTTGAAGATGAGTCATTTGATGTTGAAGGTTTGGGACTTTTGAGCTGTGAAAAAGAAAATCACGTCTCAAAGGAGTGTTCTATGGACAGTGGTGAAAACTTATGGTCGAAGATGAAGAAGTCGTAGAACAACAAAAATTTTGTGGAGCCATAAATATGCATTTCACGTACGTTGTAATGGAAGAAAGACAAAAAATGTTCTGAGAGACGATATTACCTCTTTCATTTCACTTGACGGAAAAGTTGGATGTAAATGAAGAGTATTGACGTTTTGCGCAATTAAATGTGTAATTAAGAGTGAAATATCAAAAAATGAAACATGACACTTTTTGCACAATAATGGTAAAAGATAGTAACGTTATGTGCTAATTATTCTTACACTTATGTGTGCACCTTATTATTATTATTATTTTAAAATAATTTAATTGCTAATTAATGAAAGGTAATTTTCTCTTTGGTCATACATAAATAAATAGTAACAAACAGACCCAATAACTTCTACGCGAAACTTTAATATTGACCGAAGAATCCCTTCACCCAATAAGATATCATATATTATATAATTCCCACGTTTTATCTTAAGCATGACATCACTTATGATCATTGCCAATTAAAAATGATCAGAAAAGATACTTTCACCCGTTTTCAACTTTAATTTGTTAATAAAATGGTGACTAACCGCCCCGTTTGTCTACCATTATTCCAAAATATTATTTGCTATAATAAAATTTTCCACCACACATTCTCCAAAAAATATTATTCATTACTATATTTTTCTCTCAATAATGAGAGACAAACACACCCTTAGGTACCAGAATTTTTTTAACTGGGTCCCAAAGGAGCATTACGATTTTGAACTTTGCCATTTGTACATTAAATTTGTATATCATGTATAACACTTACATAATTGTCAAAAATTGATTAGATGAAAAAATAGTTTTTTTTTAAATTGTCAAATCACAGTGTGCCATGCAGATGAATGTAAACAAGGGTGTACACCAAGCAAGACTAGTGGTTTACAAATATAGTTATGTCCATCAGCATAAGTTCCGATAACGATTTATAAATTAATCACATGTTCGAACCCAATAAAACATATTCACATTTTACCAAAAATCAATATTACAATCAATTAATAACAGTTATGCAAATAAAATTATGCTCCTCTGTTAGGCCCGACAGAACCGAGCCTCTCACATGAGGCGTGTCCCATGCCTCATTAAAAAACCACTCCAAAAATACCCACTTCATCTCTGTTTGTGTGTGTTCGATAGGGGTACCCTACCTGAACACCAAGCAAAACCTATGCAAATATTGAAATGTGATTGCATATAAAGTCAACTGTAACAGAGATGGAAATGTCATTTCACGTAGTGTCAACTCGTAAACTTTGCCCATTACGTAAAATCAATGTCACATCGACCATTTAAACTAGCTGGAATTCTCACATTTACTAATATGCGATCTAAGCATTTTTGTGAAAAGTCTTGGCGAATAAATACTGATGAATTAGAGTGTGTTTGGCCTCCATTTTGAAGAAATTTTAATTTTTGGAATAGTGATTGATGGAAGAATGTATGGTTAAAAAAGAAGGAAAAGTTTTTGATTTGCGTGTAATATTATTTTAATGAAACATGTGTGGTTTAAAATGAGTACGGTAGAAAAATGGATGAGAAAAAAATGGAAAGAATGGGGCTCAAACATAGGCTTAAAATGTATCCACCCTTTTCTTATAAGAACTATGCTATTTGTACAATGAATTTGACAATAAATTTGATAATGTGTGAGTTGGCAGACATTATGTCCATTGATTTGAAAGATTGTTTTTGAATTCAATGGCAATGATCTATACACCTCACACATTGTCAAAATCATTGTGCAAATTCGTTGTACAAGTAGTTTAATTCTTCTTATAATTGATTAAATTGAACTTCAAAATTTGATGCTCACATCGTCCCATTTATATATGTTGATTTTGTTTTTTCATAAGAATTAAGATATTTTATTTAATGTTATTGAAAAATCATTTTTTGCCAAAATTTTTCTAATTTACCTTTGTTTAATTATCAACAACTAGTAGTAAATTTGTTATAATTAGACAAATTAAATAAGTGTATATTAGTAAACGAACAAAACAAAACATTTTCAATAAAAAAATGACTATATAATTGAACTAGGAAAATAAGAAAAGTCGATCCATCTATATAAATGAGATGGAGAAAGTATTAAATACAATGAATTCCGAAAGACAAGACGTCGTAACAATACACCAAAAAAATGGACGCAAAAATATTAGAGACTATTTTTTTGTATTTCAGTTTTGTATTTTGAGTTTTGAAATCATTTTGGGTTTGGTGTTTTGAGTGTTCATTTTGAAATTGTTGAAAATATGTTCTTTTTGACATTTTGAAAAATTGTTTTATAAACATCCAAAACGTGTTTTGAAAATTTTGGCTCGAATTTTTATTTTGTTTTCAAAAATGCGTTTTCGAAAATAGGATTTGAAAAATCGAAAATAGAAAACGACGTGAATGTGGTAAATAGAACAAACGCTAAAACTTTTGTTTTTCTTTGAAACTTATCCATATAAATAGAATATTAAATAAAAGAAAACAAAAGCGTGTTACTAGAAGATTAAGCAACAATAATGCATTGAAATATATACGAGGTTTATTATAATGGTTGACGTGGCATCATATTATTGTATTATTTAAAATATACACTTCCCCCACACAAACGCAACGCAAACAACCTATAATTAATTAGAAAGAGAGAGAAAGAAGGAGGAAGAAAATGTGAAAAAATTTCTCTTATTTATTTTGCTTGATTGCTAATGGATTCAAGAAACAATTCTCTGGTAATTTTAACATGCATACATGAATGTATTACTATGTATAGTTTGTGTGCATTTTTAAATTGATTAATTATTTTTTCTCGCGTGTCGGATACGGGATCAGAGTACGAGTTCTTTAAGATTTACGGAGAAGATCTGCGCAGTGCTGATTCCAATTGTAGCAATATGCGAAGTATTGATTTTCTCGGTGTCCGGATGTTTTGAGTGCCGGAAATCGTACTGCAGGAAGAAATTGATTTCCGAGCATAATGATTTCAGTCGTCTCGCCAGTGAATCTCGATGTAACTTCATTATAATTTTACCCTTTTAGATTGGATTAGTGTTTTCTCTTGATTACAAATGAGATTTTGGATAATTTATTTTTGCAGTTACCGTGAATGAAATAGAGGCATTATATGAGTTGTTTAAGAAGTTAAGTAGTTCAATTATAGACGACGGATTGATACATAAGGTATGACTTTCCTTGAAATGATTTATTTTCAGCTAAGATTTGAGCTTATACACATTATTTTATCTGAGCTCCTACTAACGTGTTATATAAATACTTGGATTTTCAAGAGATTTTTATGTGCTAATACACCTTTTTATTGGAAGGATTACTGCGATATGAATTTTGTGAGCTCTTGCCATTTTATCTCTTTAAGTTCGTTCTGGACTATTTCTGCGTGTGCAGATAATTTCAGAGAGTGCTTTTGCAATTCCATATTTGAGCAAGTTCCTCAGGAATTTCTTTTTTCTTCAGTAGTAATGTATATGGTGATTTTTATGTCAGTGCTAAAAAGTCATTGTAGACTTGGAGGTGTGGTTTTTTATTGAAGTGCAGGAAATTCGGTTTTGACAGTGTTCATCTATTCTTTTCTTTCTTTCTTTCTTTCTGCCATTTTAACAATCATCAGCGGTGACAGTACGAGAATTGAATGACTCAAAATTTCAAAAGGTTTATCTTCTCTCCTTTAATGAGAATGCCAACTTTCAGAACTAATTGATTTGGAGACTAAAATTTGAAATGTTTACCTCCCATCACTTTGTATATGATCCTTCAAAATTCTAATTTGCTCCTGAATGAGTGGATGTAGAGCTAAGAATTTACTTTTTTAAACTTTTGGTGAAGAACTTATTTGGTTAGCAATAAGGAGAATGCAATTGTGCAACGAGAAACTTCTGGAAGCAGGATAATAATTTTAGAAGTATATTAATTCATTGTCTTGAGAGTTACCCGACTTCCTTAAGTGTGTAGGGTGCCCTTGTGCACCATTCTCAAATTTTCTGTGAGAGGTGAACAGATTTTTTAACTGAGCTATTGGCCATCTTTACTTTCACTGGAATTTGTTCAATCCTGTTTTGAATATGTGAGAACCTTTATGTTACATATTTAAGATACTTGCATCAGTTAACAGCTGAATTTTATTTGACTTGGCTACCTTGCTTCTCGTTTGAATCCAACCTTGCAGTAACAACGTTTAGCTGATTTATTTAATCTCTCATAATTTATCTTTAATTTTAGCATTTTGTTCTTTTGTAGGAAGAACTCCAGCTTGCACTATGCAGAGCTCCTTATGATGAGAACCTATTTTTGGATCGGGTAATGATTTTCACAATCTTAATGCATCTTCTATATTGATTTTGACACCCAGTTTTCCAAGTCATGATTTCAATTAAATGTTTCCCAAAGATGCATCTAATACCTTGTGGAAACAATGTTCCTTCAATGCACACGGTATGCCTGAGTGCCTCCATGTGGGAATTTATTTTTTCTTTCATCTAGATGTAAAAGTTTGTCATAGATTCTCAGCCTTTGCTCAGAGTTGGAAAGAGATAGTTACTGTGCTTATTAACCGCAGGAACTCTCTTGGCAACTAATAACGTAAGCGAACTTGTTTTCAAATATTTGGATTCCTATTTCATTATACGAACACTCATTATTCCTTTTAGCTTCACTCAGTCAGTGCTGTAATGTACAAATCGTTTGCCACTATGCCTGCACATATTGTATTTCTTTCATGCACTATCTTTAATCATAATCTGATAATTCAAGTAAAATAGAGTCTACACTTTGCATTTATTTGATTCCTGCGTTTGCTCTCAGGTTTTTGATCTTTTTGATGAAAAGAGGAATGGTGTTATCGAATTTGAAGAATTTATCCATGCAGTCAATGTGTTCCATCCTCATACCCCTGTTGAAGACAAAATAGATTGTAAGTGATCAATAATAATTATTTTCGGCTCTAAAAATTGTAATTTACTTCATGAAGTAGCTTATTTGGATGACCTTTTTTTTTTTTTTTGCAGTTTCCTTTAAGCTTTATGATCTCAGACAAACTGGCTTCATTGAGCGAGAAGAAGTGAGTATATCGTGTCGCAAATGTTAATCTTAATCTTGTAGTAATGATAACTGGAAGGTTGTATAATAATGTAAATTTTACTATTGTCAGACTTTACTTCTTCTTTTCTCTTCTTTATTTTTATAAAGAAAAAAATTCGGGTTCTTTTTTGGGGTGGGGTGAGGTTGGGGTTGGGGGATGAGATACTGTCTTGGCCACTTGTGTTCCATCTATGCTGCATTTTCCAGGGTTTATAAGATTCATTCAGCTATTAGAGCACATTCTCACCTAATTTGCCTGTGTACCACAATCTGATGAAGTGGTTATTTGACTAGTTTACATTCCAAAATGAAATGGAGTTACTCGAAATCGTAATGCAAAGAATTTGGATTATGGAAAAATGGGCACTTCCTTCTCAGTTGTACAATTCAATTTTTTTTCTTACAGGCTGTAAGTTTGTCAAATTTGACAGGTTAGATGAAACTTGGGTATTGAGGTTGTATATATTAAAGAACGATTAGTTATATGAAATCATAGGAAAAGATATGTAGTATGACAAAATGGGCAATATGTCTCGAGTTGCCCGATTTAACTTCTGCGCTTATAGGCAGTAAATTTGTTGAAAGTCAAGAATCTCCTAAATCTAGTCATTTAATGAAATCTATAATTCCATATATGCATTTTATGTGCTTATGGAAAAACACTTTGGCTTCAGGTTAAGCAGATGGTGATTGCAATTCTGATGGAATCTGACGTGGAACTTTCTGATGATCTTCTCGAGCAAATAATTGACAACGTAATGGCTTCATCCGACTGGAAAACCATTTTTTCTTTAGTCATTTCTTTGTATATGAATTATATGCTCATTGTGCAATCTTGGTCATTTAACAGACATTTGCCGATGCTGATGCTGACAAGGACGACAAGATTAGTAAAGAAGACTGGAAGTCTTTTGTTATACAACACCCATCACTTTTGAGATACATGACTTTACCCTACTTGAAGTTAGTCATTTTCTTCCTGTTGGTTCGCAGTATTTAGTGATTTGAGTAACCAAGTCGAAACAAAATGTACAGACTTGAAATTTTGCTAAAAGTTTAGTGACCACCTGTGTACTTAAGCTGCCAATCGTCACAAAAGAAAACGATATCTATGTATCAACATCACTACAATGTTATACGCGTGTTCTTACCTAAAATATTTGCGCCTATTATTTCATTATCATCCAGGGATGTATGTCATAAGAATGTTCTTTTCACTGGAATCTCTGAAAATGTTTCACTTTGCCTTTGATTTTATTATCTTTCAGGGATATCACTACCGCTTTCCCCAGTTTTGTTTTCAACACCGAGGTCGAAGATTGATTTGAGGGTTTGCAAATCATTTCTTGGACCAGATATTATCTAGGGATCTGAGTGAAGAGATGATTGCATCAGGGATTACTTAAATTCATGCCCAGATGCTTCTCTAATTCCCCGCTGGGCTGCTCCGAGATATAGACAAGGTGGCAGCCACTCATTCAGAAAAGCCTGGGATCTCATTCATTTTGCCCGATACATCTGGCGGTTTTTCCCAATTGTACATACATTCGATTGTGTTATTTTTGTGCATGTATCATTGTTTTCGTACAAGGCTTCAGGTTTTGGACGCTTGATTATGTGTACAGAATGAATTGCATTAGGCTAATGGAGTAAGGTTTTCGATTCGAGCAGTGTATCTGTACATGTTCTATGCACCAAGTTATTGTTCCACAATTTTTTTTATGGGATGCTCGATGTGCTAGACCACACAACCCCCCGCCCCCAGGCTTTTTTTTTTCATGAAAAAAAAAACGATAATTAAACGCTCCAGAAATTACAATTCGAGTGGAAAAGCCATTTTCTATGAAATTTTTTTCAATCAAACACACCCTTAGTGAATAGTAACCAATTTTTTACAACAATAGCAGATAGATTAATGGTTCACTTTTTTCTAGAACAAATTAATTCCCTTCTTGATGGCTATTATTGTGTAAAAATAATGTTTTGAATAGTGACTTCTTGAAAAATGTGTAGTTAAAATGTAAAAATAAAAAAATTAAATATATGTGCAAAATATTTTAATGTGTAAATACATAATTGAAAATGACTACGAAAAATAAATCTACTTATTTTTTAGGGAGTCAGACGGGGATGAAAAGGAAAAAATTTCAACCTCATTGTCATGCTCTAAACTTTTCACTAATCATTCTTCGAATAAAAGTACCAACTCTAGAGCCGCAGATTTGCTGACATAAAATACGACCTTCTGAGAGTTTCTCCACTCAAAAAACTTTGGCGGCCAAAAGAATGTAAAAAAGAAAAAGAGAAAAAAACGACAAATATTTCTCTTTTATTAATTCTCAGCTTGGCACAACCTGTTGAGACCAATTTTTTTACATTTGCTCCTTTGACGATCTCAACAGATTCCCCAAGAGTCACTTTTTCTTTTCTTGTTTCATTTTTTTTTCCTTTTTAAAATTATTCTTACATATGAATGGCATAAGTATATTTTATCAATCCTAAACCTAATAAGAAAATGCCTTCTTATAATTCTTTGGCAACATTTCAGGACTTCAAACACAAATCACTATTACCAGCTTTGCTAGTACTCCCAACCGCACTTTGTGGAGTCCAACTTAGTGTATCACTCTGCATCAACATGAGTTCTCAAATATTGTTACATCATCACTGGGGATTTACACGAGTTTGTTTCCTGTACGTTTAGACACTGCAAACACTTGAGGCGGGTGATAATCTGGCCAAAAGAAGGGCGTGCCTGTGGATTTCTGCAGAAGAGGAACATCACAAATTAGATTTCATAAAGACATTAATAGCACATTTCTGTTATCTTCCGTACGTGGATTACACTATGATATAATACTGCACACCTGAACATGCAGTTCGAGCATGGGCAGGAACACAATGCATTATAATCAAGTATCAGAGACTGATAGGTAGAGACTAACCGATGCCAACAGTCACTTATTATCCCTGCAACCAATGGATCCACTGTAGGTGGAATATCAAGGTGTCTACCCTGGAATCCAACAGCTCCAACAACCTGCATCGAATTCATTTCCGCCCATGGAACTCGTAAAGTTGCCAACTCCCATAATATTATTCCAAAGCTATATACATCAGATCTGCACAGGAGAAGCCAAATATCAAAAAAGTTTCAAAATGGAACTATGAAGAAAAATCACGTTCTTCCAAATGTTTGAAGTGCACATCATGTTCAACTCACTTCTCATTGGACGGTTCATTCCTTAGAACCTCTGGTGCCATCCACTCTGCCTGCATATTAGATAGCAATAGCCAGTAAGTCATTTGCTGTTGCAGTCAGTTTTAGCTCAATCATTTTTATTTCACACGTCCTTTTTTTGAGAGGGGAAGAGGGGTAAGCACACAGAATAACGAATTGATAACCCAAGTCTAACATGCATTACCGTTCCAGCAGCTGACTTCGAAGATAGAAAGGTGTGATGCTGCAACCTTGACATCCCAAAATCACCAACCTAGAAAGCCATGCATGAGAACATAAATCAGTGGAGCGAAAAGGGAGAATCACTGTCATACCTAATATGTTCTAATATTAATCATTAGACCTAACCTTAACAACCCAATTCTTATCAACAAGGAGGTTTGGAGTCTTCAAATCACAATGCACAATGATAGGTTGGCTCGTGTGCAAGTAATTCATTCCCTTGGCCTGCAAGAAATGTTATACCAACAGATGGGAATTGAACCTGATAACGTTAAGTAAAAGAGAACAAAATTATCCAACTAATACCACATCAAGAGCCATTCTTAATCTCTTCTTTTCATCAATTTGGATATTTGGACGGTGAAGTAGCTTATATAAACTACCCCTGCATATAGAAGAAAAAAGTTAACAACTATAGCAGAATGGGGACAAACAGAAACATAACATCAACTTGCGTTGTATTTATAGTGCAAAAGCCCCAATAGATCATGCAGATGTCGTGTTTTCATCGGATATCTCAAACTCGAGTCTTCATAAAAAGGCAGTAGAATCAACAAAGACTATTCTGTGAAATAGCTTGCCTTAAAGAGAAGGGCATCAACAATCTCAACGCATCCCATGGACCCGTACAACAGGCCAAATGAGGAAAAGAAAAACCAAGGAACTCATAAAGTAGATAACACATAAAATTATCCCACAGATGAATCACCCAAACCCAGTTAACCATCCCAAGGGCATATGCATGCAAGCTGGGCTACTTGTCTGAGACGGGGACAGAAGCCATTATTATATGGGATTAGGAATATGCCAAGACAGCCAAAACCATCCTAGCCTGATTTTAGTAACATGAGGTATTGAGGTAAAACCTTGGTAGAAACTCTGTCAAGATGGACAGATTCGGGGGAATTGTTACAGCTCCCATGAAAAGAACAACATTTGGATGCCTAAGCCTCAACATGATATCGACCTGCATAAAATGAAATGACAGTGAACAGAGTTTGAGTATCAAAGTTTACCATATTGTTCATAAGACAAGATGAGGTAAATTAGCACTTACCTCGCATTTAAATTGTGTGAGTGCATTGCCTGAGATGTCTTGTTTCATTAGTTTTTTGACAGCGACTTCCTGCCATGAAATAATATTAATTAATCAAAGTAATTCAGAATCAGCTGTGATATGTCTTAATATCAACACAAGGTAAATGATTTTCTATGCAAGCAAAGATATGCAAGCACAACAAAATGTCACCAGATTCAAAGAGAGAGCTACACCAAAATGAGCTATGCCTGAGGTGGATGCAAAATTGTGCCTGAGATGCATTCGACCCCCAGTTCACTAGAAATAAGACTTAGCAGTTTCTATTGTTGTCTACCAGAAAAGACACGAGGCTCTACTCACCTCCTCTGAAGATAGATACTAATAGATAGACATGGATAGGAACTCAAACACATAGCCTGACCATGACAATTTGAAACTAGAATGATTTTTGCAGATCTTAGGTGGTCCAAATATTTCACAGAGCTCACTATAATACATTAAGCGATATAATAAATATCTGCCTATAACATTCAGTAAGCAGGACAAAAAAAACTACACACGAGGCTTGAAGTGCAACAGAGAGATGCTTGAATAATCTAATGCTTGTAAAGTTTTTTGCTCCAAAGAAATTATAAACAGATATAATCAATGCATATATATATAAAGCTTACTGTGCCATTCAATTCTGCTCGGTAGACTTCACCATATGACCCTGCAAGATATGGGAGGAAATTGAATATGTTCAGTATAGAAAGACTATCAAACTCAAGCTAAGACCATAGTTTTTGACAGAAGCCGTTCAACATATAGCAATTAGAAAGTAATAGAAGCCTAGGAGCTAAAAAGACAACATCACTGACTAATTGACTATCTAATCTAGCATGAATGTGGCTTGTTAACCATCCACTAATACGAAAACGAACTTCATTCAGAAGTACAAGCAATATTTAAACATATTAAACCCACAGAGGTAAATGCCAGTTTTTTCACCAAATAAAAATGATCAGGCAACCCAGACAAGCTCTGAACCATTGTACAGTACAAGGTTTACATTGAGGACAACCTTGTAAATTTCTTCTTATGTTAAATACCAGAATTAGTACATCTAAAGAAATCCTAGATTAAGAAAAGAAATTATTAATAGAAGCAAAAAAATGCACCTATAGAGGATGAAAAATCCATCGATCAGAAGAAAATGAGATGACTACAGAAGATTTGCCATCCAATGCAATTGTAAAACCTTGAAACTTCTAAATGCAAACCAATAGACAATGAAATTATTTACTTAACAGAGCAGGTCCCATGCTCAAACTGATCTCAAGATGCACCGTCATTGGAAAGACTTACAATTTCTAAACCTCTTCTACTATTTGTTGGGGCAGCTGGCCGGAAAGAATTCTCAGACAGTTACCAACTTTGACTACAGAAAAGAACATTCACCAGCAATATTATGAACTAAGAGTAAGTGGTTGATGACTTGAACAAATTCAAGGATCAAGTGATCATTTAAACCACAGAAACATTATTCAAATTATCGTAATGTCTTACTCTTTATATTTGAAGCTGAACAACTTAAATGCATGTTATCAACATCCATTCTAAAAAATATGAGAAAAGAAAAATACACACCACAGCCACACACACACACCTTAATCTAATGCCACAACAGCTCTCAACCTTCAATGAGAGATGATAAATCTAATGAATTGAGACTTTACCTATACCAATACGTTCGCCAATCTGAAGATCCTCCCACAAAATTCCGGAAACCCCATTCAACACAGGGTCAATTGGCAACTTGTGCACCTTGCTAGCATTAGACTCGTCATTACTGCAAGCTACTTCCATTTCCTCCAATGAAGATTCATCTTTCTCTCCAGATAACTGCAAAAGGCCACCACCAACTGCAATGCCATTATTTTGGATCACTTCATCAGTTCTGCCTTTAACAAGAAGATATTCTTCTCCTAAGGTAATAGAAGATGAATTACATCCAGGATTAGAAACAGCAGGGTCTATTTTTAGCTGTTGTGCTGCCAACCCTTCAGGAAAATAATTTATGCTGTCTTTGCACAAAACATCACCAAATAACTGCACTCCTTCATCCAATACTGTAAATGAACTTTTGGAGGTTCCCGTGACAGAGGCAATACTCTTCGTATCTAACCCAAAATTTCGAAGATGACCACAGGGTACATCAACAGGAATTAGAGTGCCTGGAGCCCCCATTAAATCAATAATGTGCTCGCTGCATCAATACAAAAATCAGCATAAACTCACAGCACCAATTTCATCAATTGTGTCTTTATTTGAATACTTATGGACCTAGATGATTTTTTTTCTGAACAAAGCCAATATAGGATAATTATTGAATGCAGAAATAATTACAAGACTTGAAATGAAATAGGAAGAAATTTGTTTTCATATGGAAACAGCAGTTGATTGAATAGTAGATTAACAGTCTCATGGAGGGTACAGAAATTTTGCCGTCTAGAATGAGCTAGAAATGTTAGACGAGTTTAGATTCTTCTGTAAAGGATGCTGTAGTAAAGTTACTTGCACCAGCAAACAAAAACTGCAGCATGAAAATAAGCAACATTTGTAATAGGGATGATAAGACATGAAGAACCCTGCGCAAGATTAAAATTGGAAGTTTTTGAATGACATCTTGAAAACATTAACAGAGATGAAACTCATCATACTCATATCACCAGAAGAAGATTAATTACATGAGATGAAGTTACCAAAATCAGCATAAAAGCAAGCACAAACATTCAGGGAAGTTACTACCTTCCATTATCCAATTTTATCAAGTTCACAGCTCCATCATCAGTGCCTGTATAATAACTCCCTTTGACTAGCTTACACGGCAGGTTGATCCTATCAGCAAGTACCTAGATTACAGAATTTAATATTTAAACAAAATGCTATACAGACCAAATAGTATAAATAAGGACTTGTGTGTTCAAGTAAAGTTTGTTAATCATTATATATTTTTGTCAGAAATAAGATACTACTTTAATCAATATGTAATGGATTGCAGAGAAGGTACAACTTCACCTATGAAAGTTGCTAATTTGGTTTAGTCAATAAAAGAGGTTGAACAAGTGAAGGGAATACTTTTTGTCAAGATCAGAAAACAGTACGAGCATAAGGAGAAGGAGAAGCTCTTACAACCTTAAAGAGCAAGGCCCTATGACGCGAATGTCCAACATCAAGACAGCCAAGCGGAAGGATGATTGTATTCAGAAAAACCTGCAAACCGTAACTCCTTGCTTTCCACCTCCTAGATATATCTTCTGCATCAGTAACAGAACCTCCCATTCTGTCAACAACAAGGTTTGCAATCTTTTGAACAAGAAAACTTGTTTTAAGGCCCGCATCAAAAGCATGGCAATCCATAGCCATGAAGTACACTTTTTCCTCAAGCTGCTGTAGTTCCACATCAACTACACGGTTGACCAAAACAACCTCATAACCAACATTATCCGAAACAGACATTGTTTCAAGATCAAGCAGTGATGGCATTTGTTCTTGGAGCACCAAATTTGAATTAATTCCAGAAACATCATAAAACCCATCAATTACTTTCTCGTCATAATTTACAACACTATAGCTCTGCACCAACGAAATAATAACACAAGATGAAATCATTAATTTCTTCAACTAATATCTAAAACTAATATCTTCGAGACAGCAGTTGACACTAACTTAAATCATGTTTACTGTCCACTTTGTTGCTTTCCACATAATGAGGATATCTATCCTACTTCACAAATATATTTCCCAGTAGAGAAGTCAGAGCAAAAATTAATTATAAAATATGTGAATACATATTGATTCCTCTCCTAGACATCTTCCCCCCAAAAATAAAACAATCTAGAAACCACTATAAACATAACATAGAAATCCAACAATTCCTTTAACCAGAAAAGACTATTACCGCCCGGCTCAAATTAAAGAAATTCATGTGAAATTGATTGGTACATGCAAGAGAATCGAATCAAAAATTAAAAAACTAATCACTGAATATAGTTGATAATTACCCAATATCGTAGAGACAAAAATTCAGAGAGGCTTTGCGAGGGCGAGCACCCGAGGCTAATCTGCTTGGCGGCGTTTATCTGAGCGGCTTCCGGGTCACCATCCTTTCGACCCTGATCCGAAACGCTGATTGCCAAGGCCAACTCCACCTGGAACTCCTCCTCAAAGAAATTAAAGTTATCGAAATTCTCGTTTTCCAAATTCGATGTCGTCTGAGGCAAATCAGTTGGTGATGATGACGAGGTCGATGCAGGCGAGGGTTGAAACGGTGTTGTCTGAGGGGAGGAATCGAGTGCGGGCGGCCTATGATGATCGCCGATGTGAAACTTCCGTAGCAAATGTTTCATCTTTGACATGTCTAACTCTCATTGACCGAAAAGGGAATTTAAATAAAATAATTATCAGAAAAATTGACTTCTTCTGATTGATTGATAAGGGTTTCTTGAGCACCGGTGGCTGGAGAATACAGAGAGTATGAACCCTAAAATCTGCAGTATATAGGATTCGAGGTAGGGGTGGGGTGCTCTTCGTCTTCAAGTAACCATACCAGTAGAGAATAAAACTGCTGTATGCTTCCCTTCCATATGACCGCTTCTGTATATACGCGTGTAATAAATGGAAAATCAGCTGCAGGTCCATCAAATGAATTTGAAAACTTCATTTTTTGACAGTTTAGTCCCCAATGTTTAAATTTATAACAATTTAGCCCCATTAAAATAAAACTTCTTTTTTCTCAAACTTATTTTTAACCGAATAATGTTACTTGTACATAATTGAATTGCATAATGGTTCATTCTCGCAATAAAATATTTTCTATATAAATTCAAAATGTTTCTTACTTTTTAACCATACATTTTTCAAAAAAATTAATTGATCTGATTTTTAGAACTAAAAACCAATTGATTTTGGTTTTAGAACCAATAAAGAAATTAAGAACCAAACTCAATATTTAAATTTTATTTTATATATACTCTCTTAAAAGAGAGACTTTGAGGAATGTTGTTCATTTGTGCTTTCCACTCTCAATTTACTGTTTCATGTGCGGGCAAAAAAATGACAATTTTGATGTTTCTCACAAGCCGTAATTAGCCGCAATTATTGACTATTGACTTTGGGAAATTGATGGTATTTCTACTCTTCCGCAAATTTTCACACTATAAAATCATCTGGTTTGGCTACTACAGACAATCTCCTTTAAACTAAGTGCAGCAACACGATTTCTTCTCCGATTATTATCGTTCAAGGTACTGAAAATTGACATCTATTTCAATTGTTGTCAAATGTTTGTCTATGCACATTTTTGCCATGAAGGGAAAGGGAAAAGTCGGAAAGGAGAAAAGTAATTCCAAAAATTAAGAATTCGGATGCGGAGACACGTTAGCAGCTCCACGTAGATCTCCACGTGCGCGGAGAAGTCTCTGCATGTGCGTATTTGCGCTGCGCGAAGATCTGGTCTCCACGGGTGCAAAGACATGGGTCTCTGCGCATTAGGTATGATTAACTTGTACGTGTTAATTTTTTCCAATAAACCGAGTGGTATTATTAGCTGTTTTATTCTTTTATTCACTAAGACATGAATTTTTGCTTCCATTAAATTAGAGGTGAAGATTTTCTTACGATGGATTCTTTGGATATGTCTACTAATCAAGAATTTGGTTTTCGTAACGTTGAAAGTACTTCCCAAAGTCCAAGTGAATCATATGCGGCTTCCATTTACCAACAACAAAACCAAAGACAGACAAACAAGAAGAAACAAATTCAAACTCTACACATTGATCGTCGTAAAGGGATAAATAATTCTATATTATCTAAAAATAATGTAGGTTCTTCATATGCTCGTGAGTCTCATGAATCTACAATACATCTTGATTTTGAACTTTCTACTTCAAATCAGAAATCAACTAATGAGGTTCATTCTAAATTACAAGGAAGTTTTAACCTATCGAACACACCAACCAAGGCATATGTATTACCTACATGCACCTATTGTGAACATTGTGGTGGACAAAAATTTCATAGAGAAATTAAATGATTTTGTTGTTCTGATGGAAAAGTTAAACTTTCTATACTTGATTCATCCACTGAATTGTATGATATATTTACATCTAATGAAGTTACACGTATGTAATTCAAAAAACTTTCACGCGGATATTGTTGGGTTTTTTGATACCCAATAAATCCGGGCTATGATGTTAAACCGTTTTATTTGTTAGATTATATTTCCTAGGCCTCGGCCGATGATTGAAATTGTGTATTGACACCACGATTGTCTAAACCTCTCACGTAACCCACTTGAACCATTTGAAGCAACCTAATTATATTAGTGTTGCTCATGGTCCAACCCAAATACTTGGAAGGCTTTTAAAGATGTTAGCCCATTATCTCCTTTGCTATTTGGGCCCTACTATTTGACCTAAAGCCTATGTCTATTCCTAACCTATTTATTTGGTTGTTCATCACTGTTTTGGTCGAGAGAAAGTCTTGGGCAGCCTTGTATTCTTGAGAAAACCGTTTTCTTCCTTTTAAGTTTTGTGCCTTGGCTTAGTGCTTCTCTTTTGGAAGATCTCTTTCTCTTGCTCTCGACATAGCCTTTGTGGCTAACTTCTTGTGGCTGAAAACTCTTTCTTCTCCAAGTCCTTTGTGGGCTATTGAATCTTGAGCAACCGGTTTGGGAGAGTGTTCGGTTTGTGGGTTGTGTTTGTCAATCGTGCTGTCGTTTAGTTGGTAGACTGAGCCCGGATATTGGTTGATTGAAGACCCAAATTCCAACAGATATAATAATCATTTTGCGTTTACTTCCTTTGGTGTAAAATACGATAACGAATTTTTTAAAGCATACGAAAATATTTATACATTTAGAGTTAATATTTATACATTTAGAGTTCAATGACAGGTGTACCATTAATGTCTTTAGACTATTCCTCCATTAGATGAGATATAAGGAAAAATAGAAACAAAAAACAAACAAATGTAGTTGAACATCATACTTCACCTACCTTGTGAAAATAATGGGTTGAGTATTTAAACTGTTTACTATAATATTTCATTTTCTGTTTAATTTAATTTTACATTTATGGTACAAATTTAATCTAACATAAAACTATTTCTTTTATAGGTCAAATTGTGCAATTTTTTTTTGCTCAAATACATAGAATGCTTCATTCTAGGATATTCAGTAGAATCAATTTCTCCAGACAATATGACTATATACAGACGAAAGATTGCAGTATATATTTGTTATAATGAATACTTTCTACATTCCCATTGATCCTGATACAAATGGATAACTGCTCGAAACATATGTTACAACTCATTAGATTTGTACTTAACAACAGAGTTGAAGAAACTCCTACACTTACAAACAGAAAAGTAACATATGAAATCAATTGTCCTTCATCTGCACATGTCAAATGTCCACCTTTGGAACAACCCTTCCAATTGCTAATTTTTATTCATTTTACTAATAACTTATAATCAGATCTTGGTAAATAACTATTTGCAACTTGACTCTTCGAATTTCTATGGTAGTTTCTTCAACAGCTGAAAATGCTTCATATGTGCTTTATTTTAGCGTCTATATGTTTTTCTATTTCTTCTATGTTTATATTTTTGGTGTTTGATTTGCTCTTTGTGTTATGGGTAGAAGCCATGACATTTGGCTCGAAGCCTCAAAGGAATAATTGTTGTTTGTTGTTGCGCCTGCAACAATTGAAGTAATCTGTTTGCATCCTGCGTCTGCCCCATCATGTTAAGGTTCAACAAGGTGGTATTCCGATGGCCCCGGTAAAACTTTAGCAATGACCCTTGACAAAGTTTTGTTTGTAGAGTTAGTGATTATTCAGGCAATTGAACTATTTTTTCCTCCATTTTTTAACTTTAAGATTGTGTCAACATGTCATTCTGGTGGAATGGATGTAAAACTAAGAGCATTGGCAATGAAAAACTTAATTTTGTGCTGCCAAATGACCAGAGCCTTTCATGACATTGAAGCTTTGAATGGGCTTGACATGTCAGGACTTGGCTTGGGCAAAGCTTGTTCAAGAACAGCTCGAGAATTGACTAGCCAAGATTGAAAATTGAGATGTAAACTTTTTGGCCTGGCTCATTTTAGTCCAACTATCAAGTAGGATACAAGCAAACCAAGTTGCTTGAGCTCAAAGGGGGCTTGGTTGATAAAAGCCCATTCAAGAACAACTCAAAAACAAAAGACCCAAGCTTTAGCAATACATCAGTTACACTTAAATAACTCAAATCTTTGTTAAAGATAGTTGAAATAACATTCTCAACACAGAAATGCAAGCATACCTCTTTGCTTTTTGTCTTCTTACTCTTCCAGCATAACATTTGAACTTCTACATAATTGATAACATTTCATTTATGTAGCTCTAAGTTTGTGTCGTGAGTTATCTGAACAGTAGGGTTATTCATCCCCAAGACTATCATGGATCTCGTGCACATCTTCTGACCTTCATCGCTGTCATCCTATAGATAAATACTTGACTTAAGAGACTGATGTACAAGTTCCTAAATGCTTCTCCAGTTATTATGTATTATTCATTTCAAAAGTTGTCAAAGACATCTATTTGTTACCTTCTTAATTTCTCTTCATCAGATTCATCCAATGATTGGTCAAAATGCCCAAGCAAGCTTGGCAATAGTTCACTTGGGCAGTCAATCTGCTGAGGCAACTTTTCGAAAAGAATGAAGTTCCTGATTTAAAAAAGTAGGGAAATGCATGCTTATAAAAAGGAGTTAGAGCTTATCTATTCCACTACTCTCTTTTATAGCAGTCCTCATTTCTTTTGTTTCCTTTTTGACATATCTCATATAAATGATGCAATTGCTGATCTGCATTGCACAAGGGCGCAACAATACTTTATGCTTTAAGACTATAAGGCATGGCTATGGTTGCTTTGGCTATTGAAATCTACCGCATCACCTGTAACAACTCTGGCTCGGATACATGATTTCTGATAAAAATACATTTAGCTGAAAATAAAATTATTCCTTGGGAACTATTGAGAAGAATTTACAAGTACATGTTGTCAGATCTGACTGCTTTTGTAATCATGAAACATTGTGATATCTATTCAGGTGTGATGTCTTTGAAAAGTGTGAATATTGTAATTACTTGTTTGAAACATTTTAGATTTTCAAGAAAGAAACATTTATTATGCTAGGAAAGGGAGGAGTTACACACAACAAGCTTGAAGACATCCACAATCACTGGAAAAGGGCTGAAACTGTGCGGTTTAAATGCTTGGGAGTGCCAACTCTTGACATGGACAACATTTGTTTTCATCTTCAGGTTTGGTGTCTGAAAACTGGCTGTTTCTATCGTTATTGT